AATATATTTAGACTTTTTCTAAGTACGGTATAAGTCAAGTATACTTAAATGTCATTTTAAGTATATTTCTGAGAAGTACATAAAGCCCATGTCTGAGAAGTACATAAAAAGTAAACTGAAAGTATACTTTCTTATTTTTTAGTTTAAAAGATGTATGCTAATAGCACACTTGAATAAACTTCTTTTTCGTAAGGGATTGTACAAGTCAAAACAAATGAAATCTTATCTTTTAAATATTTAGGCTACTTAAGTTAACAGTATATATCTTCTAGCTACTGTATGTAAGAATATTCGAGAAACATATTCATTTTAATTTCTATTTATTTATATCGATTATTCACAATAAATATCGTTCAATATCTTATTTGTGTTTGTTAATTTGCCTATACAGGCTCAAAGAAGAAGTCTGTCCTGATTTCTAAGTATCTTTCTAAGTTGAATTTTTAAGTGCACTGCAAATGTAAAATTGAACATTTAACACCCACAAAGTTGAAATGCACATTTCCCCAGTGTTTATACTCTATGAGGATCACCATTAACATGCCGAATCAAGTCAGAATAATTTCTCAGGTATTATCTTTATCTTTATGTTAAATGACAAACTCCTGTATTGTAACAGCGACTATCCACCTTTTTCTTCAACGCGGAAGTAAGCCTATGTGTGAGACTTCCGGTTCATTAGCCGCTATAGGTAAATAACGAGGAGAATAACAACGTGCAGTAGGCTAAACGGTAAAACTGTTTGCACTACAAACCAGTGTGTTCATAATTAAGATAATACATTAAAATAATATGATAAGACACCAATTTTCAATATCAAGCAGCAAAACGAACTGTTTTTTACAGCTAAAAATAGCTGGAAGCAGATGAGACCGGAAGCCAGACCCATAGAATTTACAAATGGCCGCGCCCATTTACGACAAGAAAAAGATGGATAAGGACACTAAATTGTTGAGATGAGAGCTGCAAAATTAACACTGAATCAAGTTTAAAATATAAAGGATAGTACAGTATGTTCAATTTTACATTTACACTCAAATAGTGTTTAAATAGAAGGTATTTCATAACAGTTGAACTTTTCCACTCACCGATCCCATCCTCACCCTAAACCATTTCATAATAGGCTACGAAAGAAATGCAAGAAACACTTTCATTGTTTCTTCTACATTTCACCAGACAAAGGGAAGTCAAGATAAGGCACCCATTACTAGCTCTTAAAATATTTTTTGGCCAGAATGACTGGAAATGAAGCCAAGGATTTTGCAAGTATGAGGGAGGAGAGGAGTCACTGGGACAATGTGAATATTAGGTGACAGAGTCTACGAGGGACCGAGTTCAAGTCACATTTTTTAAGTGAATGAAGAGCATTCTCATTTTTTATTCACTAAATAATAGGCTATGCGAGTTCTGTAAATGTAGATGACCCTCTGCGTCACAAACAATGTTTTCTTTCATGAAGGGGAGGGTGTCTAGGAATTTTGGCCAAATCCTGAATAGAAAAATACAGTAGAGGTCAATAGCTGTATACCGTCAACTGTTTGGATTCCAACACTTTTCAAAGGATCTTCTTTTGTGTTTAAAAAAAAGAAAGAAACTCATGCAGGTTTGGAACAACATATAGGGTGAGTAAATGAAGACAGGATTTTCATTTTTGGGTGAACTATCCCTTTAACTACACTCTAAAAAATACTGGGTTATTTCAACCCAACTTTGGGTCAAATTTGGACCAACCCAACTTTTGGGTTAAAAATGTAATGTAAAAATTGAACCCAACAGTTGGGTTAGTCCATATTTGACCCAAAGTTGGGTTGAAACAACCCAGCATTTTTTAGAGTGTATACACCGATTAGATCTGTGGTAAAGCATTAATCACAACACAACACAATGCTCCACTTTAGACATCCTATAAGTAACTTTGCAACTACATGTCAACTAGCAGCCATTAGAGTATTAGTAGACTTATTATCTGCTGTCGTATATTTTGATGGTACACTCTAAAAAATGCTGGGTTGTTTCAACCCAACTTTGGGTCAAATATGGACTAACCCAACTTTTGGGTTAAAAATTTAATGTAAAAATGTAACCCAATGGTTGGGTTAGTCCATATTGAAACAACCCAGCATTTTTTAGAGTGTAACACTCAGTTTGACTAGTTCTGCTAACAACCCTAACCTAACGAGTTAGTTGACATCGCTTACAGTTAATAGAAAGTCTAAAGCGGACTTTAAAATAAACTGTAAGCCAATAATTCTTTGCTGAACATTTAAAAATACTGAACATCTCAAATGCAGAATATGAATGAAACATTCTACACACCACAAATTTACCCCTGCTTTTAATTAAACTTGGCATGAAAGACGATACCAGACGATGTTCTTGTACTCTCATAAAAATGCACCGTGTGTTTCTTCTCTCTTTAAACAACAAGTTAATAATTCACTTCAATCAGCCAGTGAAGATAAGAGCTCGAGCAGAGACTTTCAATAGCAGCTCTGTTTCTACTCGTCTGGACATTGAGATTGACTTTATTTTTATACTGAGACGACAACAGGCAGATTGCACGGTGGATGATAATGATAAGATGGTGGGTGGGTTAGTCATGAACACCTGTGTTCTGCGGAAAGCTGGGAACTCGGCTTATAAGTATTTCGACCTTTTGAGCTTCTTAGTTTCTATGCTGCGACTGCGATGCATGAGTCAATGCATGAGGAGCTGCTACACCCAGTTGTATATCAAAGACATAAAACTCTGGCAGCTTTATAGAGGCTGGGTAGTGCTTTTGTATTGTTTTAAGAAGAAGAGCGACGCCATTTCTATGGATTTCATGTGTTGTGTATTTCAAGCAATTCTGAGTGTTGCATCAAAGTTACCAAACCTACACTAAAAAAATGTTTTACTTAGGATTTACTTTCAAACTGTTTTTAGCGTTTGCTAGTAAAGTTCACACATAATTACAAGACTAACAGGTTGAATTAAATGTGAAATTTTAAGTAGAAATAGTGTTTCTATAGTTTCTAATAGTAGAATGTGCTTTTTTCTTGTAAATTGATCACCAGTTTGTTTGTAAGCATATGCATACACAGTTGTAATATTTAAAGAAAGAAAGAAAGATGTAAAGTTACATTTTCAAGATATGAAGCTGTAATTGCGAGATATTAAGTTGCATTGATTGTATTGTGTCAATTTTTTCATAATTGTTGCACTTTATGTGCAAGAAGGTCAGAAGACATACACATTTGTGGAACTTGAGTATGAAACAATAGGCAAGATACAACTTCTGTGTGCTTTTCTCTGTGTGTCATGTGGAGTTTTACAGGTTTTTTCCCCAATTGTTTACACACTTTGCTGAATCCTTGGTGCACTCTCCCAAAACTCTAACCATGAAACCCTAGCAAAAGAAAACACTGCATTCAAAACTATTTTGTTTACTGTACCATGGCAAACAATCACTGCAGGCCTGTTGTATACATGCATATAAAATATAGTGTAGATGGTAGGTAACTCATTTCTGAATGTACAGTTGATAGATGCAATTGTAAAAAAATAATAATAAAAAATTTGTCTTTTTTTGCTTTTGTTAACTGGATTTGCGAAAGAAAATGACAGAAGTGCATTACCGCCACCTGCTGCTTGGTTGGTGCAGAAACACTATATTTTTCTCTGTATCTGTCAGGCCTCATGGCATCAGATGAGTCCATAGTGTAGATGGTAGGTAACTCATTTCTGAATGTACAGTTGATAGATGCAATTGTAAAAAAAAAATTATACAAAATTTGTCTTTTTTTGCTTTTGTTAACTGGATTTGCGAAAGAAAATGACAGAAGTGCATTACCGCCACCTGCTGCTTGGTTGGTGCAGAAACACTATATTTTTCTCTGTATCTGTCAGGCCTCATGGCATCAGATGAGTCACTCCATGTTCAGCTTCACTATAGCCACAACATGTAATTTAATTGTGTAAACTATCTTTAAATAATAATGAAAAACGTCTACCTAAAACACCAGAGGACACCAAGTTACATGAATGACGATGCGTCCCAGACAGTGCATCTAACAGCGTATCTTTTTCATCTTTTTTCTAACAGTGTATCTTTGACATATTTGTCATCTGAATGGCAACATCTGCTAACCCCACATGATGATGCTACATAATTTAACT